CTTCCCAGCCGGTGGCTCTTTGTTATTTAGACAGTTTAACACTTGGATTCTGGCTCATTTTTTAAAACCCTGGCACAGTCTTTTCTGTGCAGGAGAGAATTCTGATTGCATTTGTAAGTTTAGTACAAAAAAATCCTGTTTATACTAATCCATAATTCCAGTGTGTCCCAGTCTCCTGCGGGCACAGGCAGATGGAGAAAGCAAACCCTGCTGAAGCGAAGTGGCTGGCAGGGTGCAGAAAACCAAGGCAAAGGGGATTCAGAGGACATTTTAAAACTTGAAGATTTTGTAAAGCTCTTCGTCTCACTCTGTATCATAGAAATTACAGAAAAATACTGAGTTTTCATGGATTCAATAGGCAGAAAAGGGTATCTTGAGGTGAATGTAAGGAATTCCTCATTGGTTTATGGTCAATAGAAGCAAAGCAACTCAGAAAAGCAGAGATCACTGTTAATTTAAGAAAGAAGATTAATGCTTGCTTATATTTGATATTTTTCAGTATCTATTGAACTACCCTGAAGGACTCAGAAATGTGGCACTACAGGCCCAGATCTTGAAGATGCAATAACAGAGCAGCTATCACGGCAGAGCACAAAACAAAGAGCCAGAATTAGCAGAGCTTGGTGCATCCCATTTGGCCTCCTGGAAAACATCTGCCATTTGTCAGGACTACAAAGCCTGGAGAGCCCTCTCCCCCTTGATCTCCAGCAATTAGGGAAATTCTGTTGTGCTAATTACCTGGGGAGACAACACGGGGAGAAGGCAGATAGCGAGTGACACTTGAACACAACATTTACACCAGTAAAAATCAGGCAGATATTTCAAGTTACTGGAAATCACAAAAAGTGCCAGGCCAGCCTCCCAAGACAAGCTGGAGAACATTGATCCCTGGGTTTAAAGTTAGGGTAAATATTAAAAAATAATAATAAAAAAAAAAATTAAATTCTATAAATAATCTAAGCAAGAGAGCCTCTGGAGCTGCTGAGTCTGCAGAGGTAAGGAGGGTTTGCAATGCTCAGCTTCCCCCCAGTACACATGGTTTGAATTGCCAAGAAATGGAGCAATCCGCCGTCCTGCCGGCTGCAGCACCACTGCACTCCTGCTGCTGCCAAGCCATTATTGGGAAATATTTGTCACATATTAGCTGGAACATCAGATTACTACACTGAACATTTAACGCTGTTTTGTAATATATCCATACGTTCAAAAGCTTATGACACCGTCTCAGCGTGAATTCTAGATGAAAACAGGGATATGCATCATCCAGCGGCCAGGAAATTCGGAGTTAAGGCTCCAGAGGTACTGTTAAATAAAAAGGCACATGGAAACACAATGCATACATAGAAATACGCAGTGCAAGAGCAGCCAACAGAGCTGGAGCTTTTCACACCCTCAGTCCACAATTCAGCAAGGACCAGATCCTAGGTAAGGCATGCTCTGTGGATTGGGGCTGGTTTAACACTTTTTTCACTGGGTTTAAGGAAACATTTGCTCTCAGACTCTAGCATGGTGCATCCAGCACCCTGAGGTCTCGAGGGACCTGTTCTCACAGAGCTTAAAGACTTCTGGCACAGCAAATACCACCTTTAACAAGAGCCTTTTACACCTGAGGTTTTAAAAGACTCTTAAAATTTTAAGGTGGGAAAATAAAAAATAATCCTTCAAAAACGTATATACGAGCAGGCGGTCAGAGTCCACACAACTGATAAAAAATTGTTTACCAGTGTGAAGTTTTAGTCTTGCCTTCCACCCACCTCCCAGTGCTCATCAGCTGAAGGCTGTCCCAAATGCCATATAGCCAAAGTTCCTGCACCTGCTGCGTTTCATCCTGCAGCAAAGGCTTTGTAGGATCCCACCGGAGAAAGAGGCTGAACACAAGGGGACGAGGGGCCTCTCTGCAAAGTATTACAGGCCTGGCTTAGGGAATGACAATAACACAAGTATTAAGCTGCTGTTTCCCTGCAAGACAACATATGGGGACAGCCTGTCCTGGCCCTGCCCGGCGCCCGCAGCATCCAACCGCTGCCGCCCGTCCCAAATAGCTGAGGGGACCCAAAGGCCATGGTCGTCCCCAGAGTGGGGTCACCAGCCTGTCACAGCCTTCCCGAGCCTGACCCACACTCGGTCCAGCTGCCTCAATCCCCCCAAGGATGCTCTCCTCTCCCTCAGCCACAAAAATGCCCAGACCACAAAGGACTCAAAGTGACACAAAGTTGTTGTCATCCTCCCCCGCATTGCCTTGGTTGAATGAATAAAGCAAAACAAGTCAACTCAAAGCAGCACACAGATGCTCAGAGCAACTGCAGACGCAACTTTTTGCAGCACGCTCAGCACTAGGGACAGAAAAGTTATTTTTTAAGCTTTTAAAAAGATATTATTTTAATTATCTTTTTTTCCCCAAATCATTATTCCTTCCAAGGTCAGGCTGGATAGGGCTCCGAGAAACCCGATCCATCTGGAGATGTCCCTTTTTACTGCAGGGCAGTTGGACTGGACGGTTTTTAGAGTCCTTGTATGATTTCTTTTGAGGATGGCGATCTCTCCGTGGCCCTGGCGAAACGGCCGGGCCCCCTCTGCCGGCCACCCGCCCCTCGCGGCCCCGCGGCTTCCACTGGAGCAGAAAAGCCAGCCGCGCCCCAAAGCCAAACAGTGACTGCCCGCGGAGCACAGAACGGGACAGTTTGGGCTGGGGGTTTTCTGCGAGGGAAGGGCGTTTGGCTTTTGTGTGTGTTTTACAAGCAGCATTCAGGATTTCGCTGTAGTCAGAGTAACTTGACCCTCATTTTAACTTGTAAGCGGATGTTTGTCATCTTGTTCCAAACTACTTTGAATGTGTAGCAAGGCAATTGTATCAAAACAGCGCCCTAAAACAGCCCCCACCCCTTTAAATCCAAACAAACCCCAAATTGAGTCACTTCTAGGAAGAATCGGGCTTGTTTAAAACAAGCCCCGCTGGCATGGCCAGCTCTGAGCATGTGTTTGCTCGTGGCACTGCCCACGGGTGGGTCGGTGGGGCAGCGGTCCCGTGCTCCCGAAGCAGCACCGAGGGGGGGACCACGCCTGCAATGCAGAGAGAGCATCCTCATCCTCAGCTCCCTCTCCCCAGCTTGCTTTGAATCCAGTCGTAATAACGAATTCTTAAGCTTAGCATGGTTATTGGCAAAGTCCCCCAGCCCAGGTGTTCAGGATACCCACCAGCTGCCCATGGGAAGCAGGAGTGGGGCTGGCAGCATCTCCCCATCCCCTTCACAAGGAAATTTTTCTTTCACCAGTGGTTGTTTTTTCAGTGCAGAGGCAAATTGAAGATTAGCTGTTGATTTGCAACTGGCGTAGCTCAGCAGCAAATGCCAGTGAGGGCCACAAGTTCTCAGATATTTCCAGACAAGCTCTTTAACTACAGAGCAGAAGGCAGCCTTTTTTAGGAGAAAGAGGAAAAAATGAAAGACAGCTAAAGATGTATTTGATTTGCCCAAAAACAGCCAAAAGATTTCAGGACAGTCCAGCAGCACATCCCTACATCATCCCCCTGCAGAGGTGGCCAGGAGCAGCCACCGATGGGACATTTCCTACCCACCAGGAAATCACTTCTCTTTCCCTTGGCTCACAAATTACTTTGACGTTTGTTACTAATGACTGTAATGAGCATTTCAGCAGCACGTGGGAAAACCTTCCTTTTCCTCTCTTCCCCCCATCTCCCAAACACAGCAACCAGCAACCCAGTGACCCGGAACAAAATTGGAACTTTCCTGGACAAAAGAAGCATCTTCAATCCCAATTGCTTTCTGCAGAGCAAAGGAAAAGCCTCTTGACCACTTAAGCACACCAGTAGCACCCTGTTTGCTCAGGCCAGAGAAAGATGCAGCCCCAGAGTCCTCTGAGGTTGGTGGACTTGTTGGGTCTGTGCATCATAAGAGGGAAATGTGATTAACCACCTTGCAAAGAGCTGAAAATAAGCAGGGTTTCTTTCTCAGCTGATGGGTTTTGTTACAAGGCAGTGAGGCACACAGGGAGCCTTCCACCAGGAAAGAAAAGGAAGCAAGTACGTTTAAGAGCATCATTAGTGAAGTGGTTCTGAGATTAAACATAATCTTATGGGGAAAAAAGCCCGTTTTTTTTTTTTTTTTTGTGTCCTGTGAGTAAGGACTAACACTGTGTGTTTTGCTAGAATTTGTATCCAGGATGGCAGGAAAAATTGACCCTGCCCCTTTGCCTATTCTGCCATCCCCATGTAACATTTACTGTTTGTTTATTTTCTTTGAAACTAGAATGGAACTCTGCTGCTTGGAAGTCCTTGCAACACGCCTGTGAATTCTCTCACATCAAAGCCCTGCACATCTTTCACCCATCTTTCGCTACTTTTGTGAAAACAAAGAAAGAAAATAAAGGCTCAAGTGCCCCAGCTCAAAGCCACTGCATCCTTCAGTGTGACAGCAGAGCACTTCACAGAACATTTCTATAAATGAGGTTCCTTTACAAACTAATCTAAGCTGTTTATTGTTTCCAAGGAGCATGCACTTCCACAGCAGAACAGGAAGTTTTGACAGTTTTAGAAGTTCATTAAACTCTGGGAGGAAATTTAAACAATCGGTGACAACTTTCCTACAGCAAAAGAAGTCACTGCCCTCCGAAAAGGCAGAGAGGCTGCAGCTTTTAATTATCACACTTGCATTAAGCCCCAGTGATTTTGTTACTACTTCTAAGTTGTTTTGGCCCAACACCCAGGGCTCACAACCCAGTCAAGTTCTTCACTCTTTTATTCTTATAGCCAAACGTCGCTTTTGTCCAAACCTCAAACTCCTTGATGTGTAAACAGGCCAAAGCAAGGCACTGGGAGACGTTAACAGTCTCAAGCACAAGAGCGCTCCAGCTTGGCAAAAACACTTGTAACACATTTTCCTCCGTGGAAAGGAGCACAGAAAGCAGGAGAGGAGGAGCTCAGCGGTGGGTGCCGCGGGCAGGTGTCCCGGGTGGCGTGGCTGTGCTGTCACCTTGGCACCTACCTGGGGGGCACACGCAGTCTGCCGGGGCCTCTCGCGCCGTCCGCAGCTTCGCCAGTCCTTCGCCGAGTTTCTGTTTTGGGGTGGAATGAAAACAGCCCTTTAGAGAGTACATTATACCTAAACATGGACTGTGTAGTGTGCCAACATCCAAACCGTCCAGCTTCCTTCCAGGGAGGGGTAATGGTTCCATCCTGTGGCGTTCAGCCTCCTTGGATAATGCCCCATGCTACAGTGGCACAGAAATACTAAACGTTTCTGAGCAAGTGGCAGCCTACAGCCCTCACATGGAGCAGGCAGGCACTCCTCCTGCACATCCCGAAGTCCCTTGAGCAAAGCTCCATCGGCAGGATTCATCCTGAGCTCCTTTACAAGTCCCATGCTCAGACGTGACCTGATTTGGTTAATTTTGTACTTAAAATTCATGCTCTGTGGAGTATTAGAGGTTTCTTCAGCAGGAGGATGAGGTGGAGGACAGAGACTGGACTGTAACCCTCAGGCCTACCCAAAGCCCAGTGTTTCCATCCTCAAAGTGAAAAACTCATCAATGGGACAACTAGAACACATAAAAATTCACAAATCTAGAGCAGTGTCTACGTGGCATATTGCAGGCAGATGTGTGCACACTGCCTGCTCCCTAAGCCAACGAGACTGTTCGTGCCTGCATTTAGCCCACTGCCAAGCCCAAGTTAATGAGCCTGATGACAGGTACATTACATTAGCTCAGGCATACTCGCTGCCTGGGACAGCCCAGCAAGGGTGGGAACAGCTCATCTTCACCCACAATCTTCACTCTCTCAGTCCTCCAGGAATGCTTTGTCCTACCTAAAGTATTTGCCAAAAGACAAACCAATAATCTGATAACTAGAGTCCCTACATTTCAAAGAGGGAAAATTCAAATTGCTTATTCAGTTTAGGGTGTTAAGACTTGACAATTTAAAACTGATGACCCAGTGCCTTTTCAAATATTGGGACACTGTGGACTATTCAAGAATTAGGCTACCTGTGAATTACGTTATTTTCTTTTTATTCTGAGGAATAAATGGTTTTATCTGTTGTTGAAATCCTGTGCTTCCTCTATCTGCTTGGATGTGATGCGAAGAGGCCCTGAAAGTATCAACAAGGTTCCATAGTACCTGACAAGAGAAGTTGTCCTAAGGGAAGTATAAACACCAGAACGATCCAGCTGCCTTCTGCAAAACTACACTTTTCTTGAGAAAATGTGGCAAAAATCATCTAAGGAGATTTTTCTGACAGCCACCTGCAGTCTAAATGTTACAGAGTTGCTCAAGTTCTATCTGTTTACTTTGAAAGTAATTTGGATGATGGAGATGCTCGAGGAAATGAAAACAAGCTCTCCCACATTTTTAGTTCAGCAGGAATTACTGGGAACAGCAGAGATCTGAATCCTGGAGTGAGTCCTCTGTTCTCCCATTCAATTGTTCTTGTCATGAAACTGATTAATCTGGACACTGCGGACAATAAATCCTTTGTGAACAAAACGGTCCAGCTTTGTTTACAACAACTGGATGTTTCTATAATCCTCCTGTTAATATTTTCCCTCCAGTGTGAAAACTACACACTTGGAGTTGGTGCTTTTGACACAGAGCAAGTGGAGATGCTGCCACGTCTGGACCGTGCTGTTGGCAATGTTTCAGAGGGCACCAAAGCCTGCAGCATGTCCTACTAATGGAACAAGCCAAGGGAAGGGCAAGGTCCTGCCACAGTCAAATCAGCAATTTCTTCAGAGTTACACGGATGCCTGTCACAGACCAGAAACTAAATCCTAGTTGTCCAAATTGGCTTTCATTCCCTTAACTACATGCTTACCCTTCCTTTATTATTTCCTATCCTCTCTTACTTGCCAGACATTTAAACAGCACCAAAAGGAGCAGAGCCTGTGTGTTGGTGTTGTATTTGCTGCTCTCTATACACAGCTCTGCCATAAATTATGCCAGCAAACCCCTCGAATGGTACATGGAGTAAAGCTTTTTGGGTCATGGCAAAGAACAAAGGATGCTGGGTTATGCACAGAGAGTGTATGGAGCTTTGGTTTCACTTCTGAAATACTGTGGTAAACTTCAAAGGAGGACCAACACAGAATTTAACAAAAAAACTGACCCCAGGCATCAGTTGATGTTCATGACGATGGAAATACTCTCTCGCTCTCCAGAAACTCTCAAGCACAGGAAGGGCAGGAGTTGCTTGACAAGCGAGTGGTCTTATGTAACAGAGTTTGGGCAAGAAACACTTTCTGAAACTACCGTAAAGAGGTTAATTTTAAATGACCATTAATAGATAGTGCAATTACTACTATGGACTCCTCGAATTTGTTGCTTGATTCAAAATTTGCTTTAGTATGAACAAAAGTTTGGTCATACTAAATGTTTCAACAAGCTCACTCTTCCATTAGAAACCCAATTATGTGGTTTTGCTTTATTTTCCCCTGTACAAACTCCATCTGAGCATTCCCAGTACAAAACAAGCTTTCCACACTTAACTAAATCTCAGCAAGAGGTTGCACATGATCTTAGGCAGTGCCACAGAAACCATTCCCATTGCTAAGCACATTTATTGGAGTAATTGGAACAGAACCACTGCCACAACCAGCAGGCTAATTCCTGACGGGAGAAAAGACGTTAACTAGAGGCTGTGATTACGCCTCACAGGCACCCCCCCTGGTCTGGTATTCAGGGTTTTCACAAAAATATTTTAACATTTCACTTTTATCGAGGCACATCAATGCAACCAAGCTCCCAGGCAAAAGGACATGCTGTGGTGGTGCCAGCAATACCTCACCCTAGCTCCAACAGCAACACACAGCATGAGGAATTGTCTCCCCATGCCCCCAGCACTACCTCCATCCCTGCTCAAAGCGTCAGAGTTTTCCCAGAGCTCCACATACAAATATATTTTTGCATGATCTAGGCTTCGCGGCTGTCATGATTTTAATGCATGGTTTGCAGCCCAGTCAGGCCATTAATAAAATCCCAGTGTAAAACCTTCCCCAGATGTCAGAACTGATCACTCAGAGGTGCCCTTCAGCAGCCCCACAAGCCGTGTTGAATCTTGCTGAACTTTATGAACTACTGTTTATACAAATCCAGCAAACCAACAGTGGGATCTTCAAGCATTTCCTGAGTGATGGAGCCCTTCACGTCCCCCTTGCCTGTAAAAAGCCCCAAACCTAAACACCAGGATCGGGGAAAAGATAACCCTGGGATAAAGTGCAACTTCTCCCACAGATTTGGTTTAGGTTTTGGTTAGGCACTGAGAAGGGCATCAGTGTGGATAATAGTTCTTCAAGTAGGGGAAATTGTTCAGCACTGAAATATTTATTGAATAATTTCAGAAAACCCCAGGACTGAAAGTGAAGTAACTAGTGACGGGTCTCCTCTGCCTGCCATAAATCAGTTCTGCACTGCCAGACCACAGTACTCTGTGACAGACAGTCCAGATAGCGAGGATCATGTTCATAATTTCTAACAAAGAAATTACGGTCCATTAATCCCAAGATAAAGATAACTATTTATACTATTTTTACTTTAACAAGTACTCGGATTACCTGTGTCAGTGAATAGAATAAGGCAGAAAGCCGCATGTCCTCTAACCTTCGACTGCCGGCCCTTCACCTGGGGCATTTTCTCTTCTAAACAAGTTTGGCTCTGCCACGCCTCGCCCTACTCCTGATCCATGGAAACGGCAGCAAAAAGGGAAAAGTTTGGTAAAAGGGAGGAAATTTTTTCAGAGGGGAGGCGAAGCCGGTGACACATGGAACGAACCCCGCGGCGGAGCGGGGCCGGAGCGCCTTCCCCGAGCCTGTCGCCGGCCGGTCCTGCCCGCGCCGCCTCTCACTCACCTCGCGGAACAGCTGCTCCACGCGGGGCTGCAGCGCGTCCAGCAGCGGCCCGTGGCCGGCGGCGCCCCGCTCCTCCAGCGCGGCCACCCGGCCCTGCAGCTCCGCCGTCTTGGCGCCCAGCAGCAGGCACACGGCCACGGCGGTGAGCGAGAGCAGCAGGCACAGCGCGGAGGTGGCGGTGCCCGCCGCGCCGGCGGCGCCGCTGCCGCTGCCCGCGCTCATCACGCCGCGCTCCGCGCCGCTGCGCGGGGTCCCGCTCGGCTGCCGCCCGCCTCCCGCCGCCGGCGCATCCAGCGCCGCCCCGTGCGCGCCGCGGGCGTGGGGCCGGAGCTGCGGAGCGGCCGCTCTCCTGCGCTCGCCCCGCCAGCCCGGGTCTTAAACGGAGGAAGCGGGGGGTGGCGGCTCCCCCGCCGCCTCCCCCCGTGCTGGGGAAGGGGGGATGCTCCGAGCGCTGCCCGCCGCCCCCCATGAGGGATTACGCGGAGTAGATCCCACCCCCGCTGCCCGGCCCCCCGCGGGGACCTCTCCCCCCGGCCCCATCCCCGCCCGCCCGCGGACCCCGCGCCCCTTGAGGTCCCGGCCGTGCTGCGCAGGCGGGGCGCTGCGAGAGCCGCTCCGGAGCGCGGGGTGCCGGCCCCGCTCCGGTGCCGCTCCGGTGCCGGGGGCAGCGCTGTCCGCGGCGGGGGCGGCGGGCGCGGGCCGGGCGCCCTCCAGCGGGGTTCCCCCCGGCTCCCTTGGGGCATCCGACTTGCGAGAGGTGTCACCCGGCCGGCAGCTTTGTACCTTCGGCTCTACAGCTCGTCTGCACCGCGATTTGTTTTAGAGAAGAGACGGTAGCTGGAACCCCAACACACACCGTAACTCACTGTTATCTCAGTAGAGTGCTCCAGCTATCGTGAACCTCTGAATGAGAGAAAACTGCTCACAGATAAGAACGGAGCATCCTTATATTCTGTCGTGCTTTTTCCTTTTTCTGCTGCTACACAGAGCATCACAACTCTTAACTTAGCTATAAAACATCCTCCTGCAACTTAGTGCTTGTCTAGATTATAAGCACATGGCATACAAATTCCAGTGTACCCTTTGCCCCCAGGACACTTGCCCTTCAAAGAGTTAATCCTTACTTCTAGAATAGATGATTGAAGCCTAGGACACAGTTAGGAAATGCTACAATGTCAGTAACGCTATCAATGTCAGATTCCAATTAAGTTTGTTAATAAAACACACACACACACACACGGATAGACACAGGCTTCTTGTAGCTATTTCCAAAGCAGTTAAACCGGGCAAATCCATAGCATTTGCTGACAACCAGCTCCTGCTCTCTTATATCCTGAAGATAAAAAGAAAACTCAAGATTTCTGTTAGACTTTCTTTTATACCTCCTTTCCACCCCTCCTTTGCATAAGCTTGCCAAGACTTTCGTTACAAGCTCTATGAGAGCGGTAGAACACACACAGTATCATTATTTTGGTAGCGAGGCCTGGGTGCAAAGCATCTTGTCCTGCGTGACCTGAGCCCTCCAGGCAGCTCTGATATCCAGACACTGAATGAACAGGCAGGACTGATCCCTCCTGCAGCAGATGAGTTCCTGCCCCAGAAATTCAAACCCCTTTCCCTCACTTGCCTTAGATCTCACACTCTTTGCACTTCAGTGATGAAGCTTGAGCTGTTCACTTAAAAGACTGCTTATTCTTGCCCTCCATGTTTAGTAAAGTGTGTGACTGGTTCATTATGGAAATGCACACTGTTAGTCTGATCTGCCTGGCTGACCCAGTCACAGACCTTATTTTGAAGGTACAACAGCTGGAAATCTGAAGTGCAGAAATTGATATGAATGCTCTTCTAATTATTTAACAGCTATAGCTTGATCCAAACATTCAAAGATTACAAACTTCAAGTATGAAGATTACAAGCGGGGGTGGTGGTGTGTGCACATAAAAATCCATCCCCTACTAAAGACAGAAGCACCAAGAGCAGCCCTGCAGCACCAGACCCTGCCCTGGAGTGCTGCTCAGAGCTTCCCTGGGGAGCCCAGGGGCCTTGGGCTCATGTACCTGCAAACCAACACTGGTGCAGATACTGCAAGGCCTGCAAAAGCACTAGGCACCTTGCTGCAGGTGCCACATTAATTCTGATAGTGCTTTTAAATCTACTGGAAGAAGGAAGGTCAATTTAAACATGGCTTCATAACAGGGCTAAGCTGTATCTCCTTTACCAAGCACAACAAATTTCACTGCCTACGTCAACAGCTAGAAGCACTCTTTAAGGAAGAGCACACCATCTTTCCCTAATTTTGATAGAACTGTTTTATGGTTACAGTTTTATTGTTATAGCAGCATATAAACTTTTCTGCCCCCATCTGCCTTTGATTTGCATTGCTTAGCTGATACACTCAGCCAAGTCCTTGCTTTGCCTCTGAAGCTGTGGGATGGAAAGTGGAGAGAAGTTTACTCTTGTCCTCCTTAGCCCTACCGAGCTGACCTGCATGGCACAGACTGTTACATTTTCTGTCATGCCAAGCAGAAACAATGTCTTCAACACCAACATCCAAGGAAAGGAGGCGGCTATGATGAGCTGTAATCAAGCCCAGGAGGTGGCACTGGTAACAGAAGATAAGCTTTCAAAGCTTGGCCCAGCTCTATCCTACCCCCAGCACAGAGATATGCATGTCTGGAGCCTCTTGCAAATGAAGCCTCCTCGACATCAGTTTAAAATCTTACTGTGCATCAGGACTAACTCAGCAAGCACAAAACCTGAAGTCAGGCTCACATGGAGCCGAAACAATTTAGTTTCCTTCCTTTACTGCTTGTGCAGTAAAGTCAAGATTGAAATAAATAGCCAAAACTTACTTATTACAGCCAGAACGAACTTTTCCATGGAAGGCTTACTTCCTACTGCCTGGCAAGCCACCCATATACAGTGTCAAATGGATTAAGAGAGTTGGAGTAAAAACCATGAACTTACAGACACAGAAACCCCAACACTACCAAAGTACATTAAGGTCTTGGAAAGTTGCACCATTTTCTTCTCAACCCAGTACCAGAATTCAGGAGTCACAATTGAGAACCCAGCCACCTCCATCCTGTACAGTCTCAATGCCAGCATTTTTCAGCTCCCAAGTAACTTCATTTACCAGTAACTACAAATAAAGGTCCCCAGAAAGACATATTGAAGATGTCAGAATGATCTCATTACCACAAGAGATTAAATATGCCACAATTCTGTGGCAGGCTGTATTTCTCTGCAGCAGTACAATCTTTCTAAAAACTTATCACAAAAATGTTAATCTTTAATGACTAGAAACAATATTGAAAGTAGGAAATGTTACTTTTCAGATCTTAACTAGAAAGATTAGCTATGAATACTTAACGCTGAAAGCATCAGACAAGTTCCAAGAGCTATTTAGCTGGCTGGGGAGCAATGCATGCTATGCAATAGAAAATCAGGGAAGAGGTGACCCACAAAAGCTACCTACTTAGGATATACACTGTTTCCAACCATGTTTCAAAATGCCATCGAACCTAACCGTTATATGCAGCATAACTAGGCAGATCTTTCCTTCATGACTTATAAAAGGAGGTTTTGGGGAATGTTTCCAGAACTCCTTCAGCTAGCCGTGACCTACAGTCAGAAGGTCCACTAGCATCATCTGTAAAAGGAAAGTGGTGCAGGCTTTCAAAAATGAAAATTACTTTTATTTTTCACTTTGATACCCATAAGACTACAACTGCTCAACAAGGTAAACATAACAGTTATACAAAACATATGTAATTATTTACAGACTTAACTGTACAAAATAATTTAAAGCTTACAAAAGTTTCATGCAACCTCTGCTGACTGACTGACACAGTCTAGGAAATCTCCTTGAAGAAGCATAGAAGATATATGAATTTATTTATTTAATGGATCAAAAAAAGGATGCTGCAAGGCTTCATCAAGAGTAATTCTTTTGGCTGGGTCATATTCCAGCATTCTGCGAACAAGGTCAAACAGACTTTGATGATCTGTGTCTTGGCAATGCATGAATTCCTGAAAGAAAAAAGCAGGAGGTATTTTAGAGAGAGCTTTTGCAACTGCAGTCTAACAGAACAATAAAAATGTTGTGTCCTACCTTCAGAGGCTTACACCGTCTCCTGACATACCGGCCTGCAGAGCTGTGCTCATCCCAGTCCAATTGGTCATGGTGAAAATAATGTTTTCTGCAGAACAAGGGAAATAACAGTAAGTTGGTACCAGTGCACACAGCAAGCAGATGCTTTTCCAAGAGGTTTTAAAATATCATTAAGTGTTCCTGAATGTATCTCTGCATTTGGGAGCTAACACTTCTTTTAGTGTGCATTTATTCATAGAGATCTGCTGCTTTTTGTTACTGCTGCCACAGTAATTAGAAAACCATAATTATTTTTTTTTTTTAGCACTACTTGAATCTATTGCAATTGCTGCTTTCCAAGCTTCTTCCTGTTTTTCAAAATGCACTATAATCAACCGGACAACTATAACAAACAATATACATTACCCAACCCAGAATTATTGGAATTCTACTTTAACATGATTACAGAATTATCTACATGAGCTGGAAAGAGGAGAGCTCATGTCCTAAGAAAGAAAACAGACCATCATATCCCAGGACCTCTAAATTGTGGACATAGAGGGGTCAGGGGAGAACCCTGTGCTGGCTGCTTCTCCTTGCCATGAAGTGAGAAACTCATGCTGAATGGAGTTATCTTTGAGGAAGAGAGGACAATCACTGAAGCACATTGTCTGAGGGATATGGAGGGGCAGCAGAAGAGGATGACAGCTGTATCAGCAAGCAAGGGACCCTCTTCTTCCTCACAATAATTATTGAGATGACATGTTCTTTGTTCTCAGAGTTTAAAGAAAAACTGATGTCTAATACTGTTCTGGTGACCATACCAAACTTAGCTTTAAAGACTTAGAAACATTAATACTCAAGTTACAGTCAAGTGGCTGACAATTCATACTAAAATCAGAACAGAGGACTACTGTCAACTACTTAATGTAATAAAAAGCCCATGAATCTTTGTTGATCTGCAGCAACTCATAGCTTACAATGGCAACTTTGCAATTTCTCTTCTAAGAGAAAATATTAGGCAACTTACCATTTCTATAATGAACATACCTGGATTTCTTGATCATGTGAGTGGGCAGAGGCCCCAATATTCTTTCCATCATTGCCAGGTGTTCTTTACTGTCATGAGTCTGTGTGGAAAAACCAATGAAAGCACTTAGCACATTTTTCTCCTCTGAGCCACTTGGTAACAACACTCAAACTGCAAACAAGATTTTGCCAGAGCACTATCACAGCATCTTTAAGCACTGCCACCTTCGATTACTAAAAACAGATTATGCAATGCAGATTATACAACACTTTCCACAGTCAGGATGACCTTTGAACAACAGTTCATAAACCAAATACTGTACAAATGTTTTCTTGACTCAATTCCAGCCGTATCGTGACAGTCTTCTTCCCTCAAAATGCCAGAAAAGATCATCTTAGATACTCTGAAGGAGATATCCAAGATGTAACATTTGCTTGTATGGAAGATTGTTTTCAAAGTTCATCTATATAATCCTTAAAAGTTCATGGAGTCATGCCTTTTACATAGTTAAGTGCATGTTATTAACAGATTAAAATCAGTAGTCTGTAAGAAACACGTTCTACTTAAGCTTACGTACACACCTGAAACACTGTAAATCCCAGGTAATACTCAATCAGAAT